AGGGAAAGAACACTTTATAGATGCTCTTGTTACCTTCTCATTTCACATTCTTCTTTTCTGACTTGTCCATGTGGAGACAGGGCGGTCCTAGGGAACACAGCACTGGCCTAGGAATGAGGAGAATTGCGTTTTATACCCAACTTTGCCACCTATTGGTTGTGTGACTTTGTGTTAGACACTTAAAGACATGGAGAACTGGTTTACTCTGCCAGATGGAGATAACTGATGCTTACTTACATGCATAGGGTTGTTGAGAAAAGTGGGTAAGGATGTGCAAGTATTGTGAGATATTCTGCAAATATAAAGTATTAATACTTGTCAACGTTAATGCCCATTTATTCATTCAACCAACCAACATTTATTGAGTACCTGTTATAGTCCATTCTCTATGCTAGATACAAAGACGATACAAAGGCATAGACACTATTCTGAAGTGGCTCACAGTCAAGTATGGGAGACAAACAAATGAGCATTTACTAAAATCCAGTGTGGTAAGTACTATATGGACATACAAGCTCACTGGGAGTAGAGGAGATGATACCCAACTCTGCTGGTCTTCTCAAACTGCAGTTTAAACCAGTGACTTGTGCTCATGCTACTTGCTCATTGCCCCCTTTGATATCTATTATATCTCACCTTTAAAATGCCAGGCTCACCATGTGTACTCTTGCTGTCTAACCTCAGTGGGAAGCTGTAAACACCGCTGCCTGTGACCTTGCCAGAGAAGTAGCCAACAAAGGTGATGCTTTGGTAGCGGCGGGGATCTGCCAGACATCGTTGTACAAACACCACAAGGATGAAGCTAGAATTAAAAAACTTTTTCGACAACAGCTAGAGGTTTTTGCCCGGAAAAATGTGGACTTCCTGATTGCAGAGGTAAGCCTAGCATTAAAGGGGCAGGGCTGGAAGGAGCTGTGGGTAGGGGAGGATAGAGGCTGTCGGGGAGTAGAGCCTAGAGGGTAGGCGGCTGCTCAGGCCTCACCATTAACACTCAGTGCCAAGTAGTAGTTTCCTTGCCCTCCTCCATCCCTGCATTGCTCACTCCCATCTCTCTGCTTTCACTAAAGCTATAACATCTGAGCGATATTTTGAAGTTAGAATCAATAAGCGTTGTCACTGACTGGATATGAAGGCCCAGAATATCCTCTTTCTCCCATCTCCCTATTTCCCATCATGATTGCTACCATCTAGAGTCAAGGCCTCAACCCAGCTCTTCACCCCCAACAAGGACAATAGCCTCCCAACTACTAGTTCCCCAATTGCCCTACTGAACTTGCTGAAAACCTTGCTCCGTCAACCTTCCCAAGGCTTAGGGCTACCCAAGCCTGGCTAACCCACCAGGAAAAAATCATCTACAGAAATGAACACAAACTCTGCCCTATATGTTCTCCAGATGGATGAGAACCAAGTTTGTTTTTTAAGAACCTCTCTTTTGACTTTCTCTGCCATTCCTCACACACTGCTTCTGCAGAATCTAAGTCAAAAAGGAAGAAACAGGGAGATTTCTGCTAGCTTTTCTCAGCTTACTTAAATTAAGTTCAGCTTTTCAATTGTGGCACTTATGGGGTTTCCTGGGAAGCACCCCTGCAAATGGCCTGGGTTTACCAGACAAGGTGTCCAGTCTACCATTGGCAAAGACACTCAGTAGCTACCCCTCCCTTCTCTGTGCCTCGATGTTCTCATCTGGGGAAATAATCATATTTCCCTTCTTACTTCATGGAGCACTTTAGAATATCGAACTAGAAGTGAATATAAAAGTATTTTGAATTGTAAAGCATGATAAACAATTATTCTGCAGAGATCATTCAAGTTCCATAAAAAATGAGTCCAAAATTTATTAGCAAAACTTTTGTTCCTTTAAAAGTATGATTTTAAATACTCAATTACTTTAAAACCTTTTTTTAGTATGATATCTGAATGAAAACCTATATGTTATTGTTAAAGGAATTAAAATATTTACTCAGAAAAGTATTCTGTAGTCAGTATGATAGAGACACATTTCTTAGCACATTTTATCACATATATTTGGTAATTTTTATAACTGTTTTTGTAACATTTGCGGTCTACCACACAAAATCTGCTTTATATTTGGACCAATAGAAGAACATGAAATTTCTCTTAGTATTTTGAACATGCTGAAGAAGCTGTGTGGGCTGTGGAAGTCTTAAAAGAAGCCAGAAAACCCGTGGCAGCCACTATGTGCATAGGCCCAGAGGGAGACATGCATGGTGTAACACCTGGAGAATGTGCTGTGAAGCTGGTGAAGGCAGGTAATGTGGACCCATGATGTGATAAGCAGTTCAGTTTTTGTTTATGAAATGTTTCTTAACATTGGGAGAGCAGTTCGGAAATAAAAACATTAATTGGAATCTATCTCTTTATCTTTAAAACTTAGGAGGTGGAGGGGGACAGCTAATTTCTAAGACACCTTCCAACTATTAAAAAAGAAAATAAAGATCTTTGTGTCTGTTTTTGTGCCAGTACCATACTGTTTTTATGACTGTAGCTTTGTGGTATAGTCTGAAGTCAGGGAGCATGATTCCTTCAGCTCTGTTCCTCTTTCTCAAGATTGTTTTGGCTATTCAGGGTCTTTTGTGTTTTCATACAAATTTTAAAATTATTTGTTCTAGTTCTCTGAAAAATGCCATTGGTAATTTGGTAGGGATTGCACTGAATCTGTAGATTGCCTTGGGTAGTATGGTCATTTAAAAATATTGATTCTTCCAATCCAAGAACACTGTATATCTTTCCATCTGTTTGTGTTGTCTTCAATTTCTTTCATCAGTGTCTTATAGTTTTTGGAGTACAGGTCTTTTGCCTCCTTAGGTGGGTTTATTCCTAGGTATTTTATTCTTTTTGATACAATGGTAAATGCGATTGTTTCCTTAATTTCTTTTTCTGATGTTTTGTTGTTAGTGTATAGAAACGAAGTCAGACAGAGAAAGACAAATATCATATCACTTATATGTGGAATCTAATAAAATGATACAAATGAACTTATTTACCAAACAGAAATAGACTCATAGACACAGAAAACAAACTTATGGTTCCCAAAGGGAAACAGGGAGGGGGGGAGGGGAAAATTAGGAGTTTGGGATTAAAAGATACACACTCCTATATATAAAATAGATAAACAACAAGGACCTACTGTATAGCACAGGGAACTATACTCAATATCTTATAATAACCTATAATGAAAAATAATCTGAAAAAATATATATGTATAACTGAATCACTTGACTGTATATCTGAAACTAATGCAATATTGTAAATCAACTATACTTCAATTTTTAAAAATAAACAAGTAAATAAATTTTGAAACAAGTAAATAAATGTATTTCTTTGCATAGGGGCTTCAATCGTTGGTGTGAACTGCCGATTTGGGCCCTGCACCAGCCTGAAGACAATGAGACTCATGAAGGAAGGCCTATGGGCTGCAGGGCTGAAAGCACACTTGATGGTGCAGCCCCTGGGGTTCCACATGCCTGACTGTGGCAAAGGAGGTTTTGTGGATCTCCCCGAATATCCCTTTGGTAAGCTCAGGCACATATTAGAGACCTTGTGGTTTCTTGTTGTGACAAAACGGAAATGGCTATAATGAACAACTACAGTACAGACTTACGATACGAGACTGTATAAGACAAAGACTTTCAGTGTTAACCAAAAATTAGCTATCTGAGGAATTCATACTCTAAAATTTATAGTTTCTTCATTGAAAACAGAAAATACCCCTTGAGCATCGATTGTTTGAATATAGAGATGGTTAACAGAAGTGCCATAACTATTGTATTACAGCACTGGAGCCCAGAGTTGCAACCAGATGGGATATTCAAAAATATGCCAGAGAGGCCTACAACCTGGGGGTCAGGTACATAGGTGGGTGCTGTGGATTTGAGCCCTACCACATCAGGGCAATTGCAGAGGAGCTGGCCCCGGAAAGGGGATTTTTGCCTCCGTCTTCTGACAAACATGGCAGCTGGGGAAGTGGTCTCAACACGCACACCAAACCCTGGATTAGAGCCAGGTAGGAATTTTTTAATTAACTTACTGTTTTCCTCTAATCTCATTTTATTTATCGTTAGCTTTATGAATGCACATGGTAATACAAATTCAAAAGTATAGAAGTATACAAAATGAAAGGTAAAAGCCGCCCATTTCTGACACCCATCCCATTCCAGGGGTAACCTGTTTGCCATTTATGTTTTGAAGTCTTATTTCTCTATTTCTTGTTTTATCAATTTTAAGTGGTAATTACCCTTTATGAAAGCTGAGGGATTTAAATCACATAATCTTCCCCCTTGCCCTGATCTCCTTTTCCCAAATTTGACTTATTACATTTTTGTTTCTTCTGTTGGCGATCTTTACAAGTTTGAATTTCATATTTAACTACTTGCTTTTTAATCCATCAATATGAGGCAGTATCTCTTGATTCCACTCTCTGTAAAATAAGAATTGCCTTCCTCCATTTCCCTCTACTTTTCCTCCCTCATCTACCTCTTGGTTTCTTTAAGGTATACAACTACTTTTACATCATCAAGGTTTATAACCAAACACAGTATAAGCAAACACAGTGGCAATTCAGTAATTAAGTGTTCAATTCCATGTGAAATCAAGACTTGGAACGTTTCAAACTGAAAACCTCGTTTTTTCCAGCAGGAGATTTCAATATTCAGGAAACCAGGGAAGGCCAGTCTGATCTTTCTCTTTCTCTGTCTTATACTTCCAACCCTCCCTTCCCATATTGCTAATCATGGTTTCTGACCTCTTCAGATTCAAAGAGGAGAGCAGATGGAAAAGGGAGTAAACTTGTATTGCTTAATTGACACCCTATTAGGAAGACCACATTCTCTGGGCCTGGCAGATCCTCATGAGTGTATTTACAGTTCTTCAGAGGCTGCCACTGGAAACTTTTGTCTGTATTTCTCATGCCACAGGCATTGCATTTTTCTCTGAAAATTTTTCTCTGCTTTGCCCTCAGATCCCAACTTTCTCAGCAGGTCACTATAGATATACACTATTTTGGGGGGTCTCATTTTCCTTCCTGGTGTTTCTCTTGAGGCTGATTTTAAATATGCTGCCTCTCTTCTATTAGGCTCAAAACTGGCTAGAAGACTTTTCATCTTTCTTTAAGGAGACAAACTGAGAGTGTGGTCTGATCCCAATTTAACCACACTATCTTCACTCACAAAGTAGCTGACCCATTGGTCTCTGTGATCTAGATTTTCCAGTGTAGAGTCAAGTGAGTCATCTGACTGGCTCTTAGGCAACTACTTTGAAACTTCTGCAGAGTGTCTGTCTTGCTTTAATACCTGATATCTATTGTATCTTGTGCCACCAATAAAATTTCCAATCTAATATCCTGGTACCCTGATCACTATTTTCTAAACATTATTCACTGCAGAACCAAGAGAAAGAGAAATAAACCTATTTTACAAAACCTGAGCCCCTTGTGAGAGAACGTTCCAAGCATCAAGGTCAAATTGATTCTCTCCTCTTAGATTTCATCCATAGTCCAAACTCAGGCCATACCTTAATTTACTTCATAGTTGGACTTTCTTTGTACAATGTTTGGTTTTATAGGAATTTCTAATTAACTTTCTTTTTTATTGTTGAAAGAAGAATAATAGACCTTCACCTTCTCTAAGGTCTTCCAATATCTAAATTATACTGTTTGTTACAATCAATCAGTTTATTATTCAAGATATTTTTCTGGGGGCTCCTTGAATTACTGTTCTGTTTTGAATCATTCTCTCTCTCTCTCTCTGTCTCTCTCTCTCTCTCACCTGTCAATCTTTTCTATCTTTTAGAAACTAACCACAATTTCTTCTCTTCTCTAATTAGAGCTGTTATGCCTTTAATCCATTTTGTACTTCTTTATCCATTTCAGTAGAACTTAGAACAGTCTTCATCTTTGAACATTTAGGACAACGTTCCTAACATAAATTCATTTAGATTGTGGAAGTAGGCAAGAAATCATTTAGGCACACATTTCTTCTGGGAGGTATGGATATTTATCCAGGAAGATTTTTTTTTTATAGGTCTCATGCTTAGAAAAAAAAGTACTAAATAGAAATATAGGGACTTCCCTGGTGGCATGGTGGTTAAGAATCCGCCTGCCAATGCAGGGGACACAGGTTCGATCCCTGGTCTGCGAAGATCCCCCATGCCGCAGAACAACTAAGCCTGTGCACCACAACTACTGAGCCCATGCGCTCTAGGGCCCGTGTGCTGCAACTACTGAGCCTGCGCGCCTAGAGCCTGTGCTGCACAACAAGAGAAGCCACCACAATGAGAAGCCTGCGCACCGCAACGAAGTGTAGCCCCCGCTCACCGCAACTAGAGAAAGCCCACACACAGCAACGAAGACCCAACGCAGCCAAAAAATAAGTTAACTAATTAAATAAAATTACTTAAAAAATATATATATATAATTAAAAGGTGAGGAAAGTATACTTTGATGATGATTAAAATAGTTCAGATAAGGGAGAAATGGCTTTTTTTTAATAAACACTCTCTAGGGATCCTTAAAATTCATTAGCAATTTCAAATAAAACATTATTCTATAGAATAAAGCCAGACATTCCTTGTACCCTAAACTCCCAAACATACTGATGTTCACAAAAATTTGTGATTACCCAGAAACCTGTAGATACCCCAGATTTCTGACATTTTCATCATCCAAAAATATTGGTTTATTGTTTCATAGGTAAAATGGAAAAAACTATAAAAATACATTTAACACAAAGGTCTGTGACCAGGAACCTTTGTGTTCTTTCTTTGTCTAAAATCAAGGCACAAATACTGACAAATTAATTTGTATTCTGTTTTTGGTTACTTTTTGAAGAATTATACTTTGTCGCATTATGTTTAAAACTGGTTTCATATACTTGTCATTATGTTAAAATACTGAGTAGAGCTAGAAGGACCCTGCTAGAAATTTCCGAATGAATATAATTCACAAAAACATGTAAAATTCAAACATGTTGATTTTTTCTGAAAGGTGGTATGAAACCCAGTGACTTATTGAGGATAGAAATGTAGCAAGATTCCTGGAATTAATGGATATGGGCATAGTATTTCTGTCTGTATGTTGAAACTGAAATTCTGCTTTAGCCTGATCATCCACCAAACTTAGGAGTATTTAGCCAATATATATATAAAGTATTGGACTTATAAAATAGTAATGAATCTTTTAATTGATTAACTATATATATATTTAAAACACAGGGCTAGAAGGGAGTATTGGGAGAATCTGCTGCCGGCTTCAGGCAGACCTTTCTGTCCTTCATTGTCCAAGCCAGACGCCTAAGGAGTAATGAAAGAAAACACTGAAATAGCAGAATGGAAAGAAATCCCCCTCAAGCCCCATCTGGAACCCTTCCTCGCCTCTATCCTCAGGCCACCCTGATGTCTCCAGCTGCTGAACAGCTAATGTGCTGTCAATTCAACATAGGATGCGTATTGCATTCCTGCTGTGCCTGATGCAAAAGGCTTCTCGTCCTCCAGATACTTACTGTCCAGTAATGCTGCAGGACATGCTTTTGAAGGGAATCAAGAATAATGAAACTTGTCTTTTAGGGTGAATTTGAGATTTTAAAATAATGAAGTCTGTGAGCAACAAACCCAGTGATTAATTACGGAGACTAAACTAGGTACAGAAGGAGGATAGAGCAGCATTCTAAACTAAAATGAAAGTAATGAGTCTGCCTTTCTTAAATGATTTGTATAATGACTCCAAAGGCAATCCCAAAGGAAAAGATGCAAAAAATGTTTTAGGACTTTTTGAAATAATCATATAACCTTCCAAAGTGATTACTTTCAGAGATGATTTTACTTAAAGGTGTTAGGTCCCAGAATTTTTAAAATGTGTCTATTTAATCACAAATAGCTAGATTATAAACTACTAAGGACAAGGACAATGTGATATGCTTCTTATATTTTTCCTTAAAGTATTTATCATTGTGCCAGGCATACTAATAGATGCTCAATGAGATACTTATGTTGATTGTTTAAAATAAATAAAAATAGATAAACAGTTTTGGAAGACCTTTTTAAAATAGTTCAAATCTATCTTGGTCTAATATTTTCTTGACTTATGTTTGAGCTATTTGCTACATGCCAATTTCTCTCTATTTTTCAAAACAGTGTATCAATTTGTAACAATAAAATTAAAAATTTACCTTTTATAAAAGTGTTTGAATACTTTAAATTTTACGGACATTCTTTGGAATAGTAATAACAACAAGCATTTATTACTTATTATGTTCCAGGCTCTTGCTTCTCTCTCTCTCTCCTCTCTATCATATATATGTATATGACAAAAGCCAACTTACATTTATGAAACACACAGGTTTCATTTGGGGTTAGTAAGTGCAATGCTCAGAATAGAATGTTGATGAGATGGAAGTTGATAAAACTTCCAACAGACAAACAGGTAACAAATAAAGTCCTTAAAAAATAGATTTTCTAGATTGAAAGATTCAAAATTTATATAGTAATTGGATCACATTTTATTATAGATAATAATAAAAACATGTTGGGGAAAAGTATTTCAAACCATTTGGTTCTAACTCCAATTTAATAATTATGCCCCAAAATAAAGTCAGAAAAGTATGCTCAGTCCTCCACTGTTATTGCCTTGGTCTGACAAGACTAGAAAATACATTTAGATAATTAAAAATAATGGAAAAGTGAAAATTATATTTTACGTAGATGAAATGGTTATATAGCTAGAAATCTCAAGAAGGTCATCTGGAAAGCTATTACAAACAACAGGAGAATTCAGTAAAGTGACTGGTTAAAAATTTTATATACAAAAGTCATTGCTTCTCTATATACACTTGACAATGATTTTGAAAGTATAGTGGAAATAAAGATGTATTTTATTTTTTCAGCAAAATGATTAAATATCCAGGAATAATATTACAAAAACTGTGTAAGAGCTGTTGAAGGAAAGTTGATGCAAAATAAGACGAATAAATCTACACACATGCTCATAAAGAGAAAAACAATATTTTAAGATACAAAGTTGTTCTAAATTGATTAATAAATGTAATATAATCCCAAGGGGAAAAAATCATGAGTATTGAGGGGAAATAGACATGCAAACCCTCAAGTGCACATGGGGGTGGGGGGTATATTTTAGGAGTTATGAGAAAATTAGATAAAGAAAGATAGTGAGGAAGGTGTGGCCTTGCCAGATAACCACTATATATAACATAGTAATTAAAGCCACTGGATACTTGTATTAAGAAAAAGTTCAGTGGAACATATATGTATATATATAAGTGTTAATGTATGATAAAGAGGGTATTATTTCAGGTCAGTAAGGGAAAGCCGGATTGATAAAGGAGGTATTTCAGGTTAGTGAGGAAAGCTTGATTGTTTAATAATGTTGGACATTTGGTCAGTAACCTAGGAAGAAAAAGTTGGATCTCTTAGAACAAGTTCAAGGTTGATCAAAGTTTTAAACATAAGTCCATAAGGGAAAAGCCATAAAAGAAAAAAAGAAACATAAATTTCACCATATAAAATTAAATGTGTGCACAAAACCCAAAGTACTCTAAACAAAGTCAAATGGAAATAATGTGTAATGAGGGTTAGTAACCACTATTCCAGTAAAGGGGTCTTAAGTTGTCTTAGTTCAATTATCCTCCCACCTATGTAGATGTTGTGAGGAGGGCTCTCCTATGTGATTGGCCTTCAGAACTCCACGCCGTGTTCTTGGGCTTACAGGTGTTTTGAGAGGGAGATGTACCCAGCTAGGGACCAAGCAAAGCCTTGGGGTCAGTACTAGCATCATCACCCTTGCTTGACCATCACTCTTTCACTGTGGGATATGATGCTGTGAGTCAGGTGCCACAGGAAGCACAGGGCACCTGGTAGAGATGATGTGAGGTGCTGGGTAGTGAGTCTGCAGGCACTGACAGGGAGTTCAGGCAGCTTCTGAGCACTGACACATTATTCCTTAATGTAGTACATAAGGAACCACAGGCCCAACTTGACTCTTTCCTTCCCAGGCAGCAGGTCCTCTCCCTTCTTCGGAAACGTCTGGGGATCAATTCTCAGCTCCTGTGGCCCACGTGCAGCTCATACTGTCTCTTCCCCACTTCCCTGAATGCCCCAAACCTTTTAAATTTTCTGAAAAACCTCTTTCACTCTTGCTCTGTTGATATAACACGATATTAGACCAAAAGTAATGGAGAAATGAGGTCCACTTTCCTAAAGGCACCCTTATTGGAGGTAGGGAAAATATTTGCTCTTTATCTTTCCAGTGCAGGAAAAAGAGGCAGAAAGAATCATGATTTATTCTTTCTTTTTAATCTGTACATTATTATTATGCATAATAATAATTTACAGATCAAAGCGACCTGAATGCTAGTATCCTGCCACAAATATTTACATACATTTGATATACCAAGGGAGATTTTCCCTAACCTATAAATCAGAAAATAGATTTCCTTAACCTATTAAATACAGGAAAAGATATGCAACACGTTCAGAATTAGGTAAATGCATGTGAAAACAAGAAGATACCTTTTTTCACCTATCATTAACAAAAACAAAAAAAATGATAATACCTTGTGTTGTTGAGAGTGTAAAGAAAAGCCACTATTGTACATATGCTTTTTGTAGAAGTGTAAACTTTACAAGCTATTGGGAAAGCAATTTGGCCATTCCTATCCAAATTTAGAATTCACACACCCTTGGATGAGCAATGTCATTTCTAGGAATGTAGCCTACACTTATTTTCATATTTGTGCAAAAGCACAAGTCTGGACACTGCCAAAATATCCATCAGTGAAATATTAGTTAAGTGATTTATGGAACGTGTACAGGATGATAAACCATGGAGCCATTAAAAGGAATACATGCTATGATATCATATGCTATTGCTTATATGTGTAATCTAAAAAATAAATGATACAAATGAACTTATTTACAAAGCAGAAATAGACTCACAGCTATAGAAAACAAACTTATGGTACCAAAGGGGAAGTGGGAGAGGGATAAATTAGGAGTTTGGGATTAACAGTAGATATTAACACCCTACAATATAAAATATAGAACAAGGACCTACTGTTTGGCACAGGGAACTATATTCAATATCTTGTAATAACCTATAACGGAAAAGAATCTGAAAAAAAATATATGTATAACTGAATCACTTTGCTGTACACTTGAAACTAATACAACATTGTAAATCAACTATATTTCAATAAAAAAATTTTTTTAAAATTTTTTTTAATTAAAAAAGAAACAGAATACCTGAGCTCAACGTTTACTGAAGAGGAAGGACCTCCCAGATCAGTTCTAAATGAAAGTATGCTCCCATCATGCGTATGTAGAATATTTCTGGGAGGAATGCTTCCCTCATATGAAAGGAAGACTAGTGATTGAAAGTATGGTATAGAAGGAAGACTTCGTTTTCTCTGACACCTTTCTTAGTGTCTAAATGTGTTAATATGGGTAGTTATTACTTTTTCAATGAAATAAAAATTTTTTAATTTTTATGATTTTAAAATTTATATCAAGATTTCTGATTGCAAGAGGGAAAATCAGATATCATGAGTTTCCTGTTGTGATACAGAATGAGAAACACTATATCAGCAATGATGTACCAGCCAAAGGTGTCTGAGTGGAATCTAATCAAGCCTTTGGATTTCACTTCCAATTTAGAGGAAATACAGGTGATCTAGGAACAAGGTAAATAATTCCACAAGGAAACAATCAGGTGAATCATATATGCTATAGGATAGCTGGCCTGGTCCATTCCACAGATCCGTGTATTGGGAGTGCTCACGTGTATAAAACAAACCAATGCAACTCATGGTCTCGTATTGGATCCTAGTTTTGACAAACCTACTATAAAAGGCCTCTTGGGTACAAATTATGAAAATTTAACATGGACTTTAAATTATTAAGGAATAAAGTATTAAAGTGTTAAGGAATCAGAATTAATTTTGTCCTTACTTTTTAGAGATAAGAATTTTTAATGCATACTAAAATGTTAAATTACTATTTATAATTCACTTTAACTATTTTAACATATAAAACTGAGGGTTTTCTTAAAAAGCAAAATCCCTATAGGTTCTGATTTGGTATAGAGAAATTAAGAAAAAAGTCATTGGGGGCTTCCCTGGTGGCGCAGTGGTTGAGAGTCCGCCTGCCGATGCAGGGGATGCGGGTTCGTGCCCTGGTCCGGGAAGATCCCACAAGCCGAGGAGCGGCTGGGCCCATGAGCCATGGCCGCTGAGCCTGCTTGTCCGGAGCCTGTGCTCCGCAACGGGAGTCCACAACAGTGAGAGG